AGGAGCAATGCAAGCTCAGCAGTGCAGGGCTCAGTGCCAGCAGCCGGCTGAGGGCTCCCCAGGAAGGACTAAGTACCTACACACTGGGGCAGTGGGGTCTTCCAGAGACAACCACTACTGCACAGAGCACATCTGGGCAGGAAGCAGGGGCCTGGATGGTAGCCCAGGATCTACCGGAAGGCCCTATGGAGAGAGAGCGAGAGGGAGACAGCAGCAGCCTGGAGTCCTGAGGGGGCAAAGGCCCAGATGCTGAGAGCCACAGTTAGAAACTGTGGGGCTGCTGAGGAGGGCACAGCTAGTTCCACTCCCAAACTGCGTCTGTCCCAGCTCTGGGCACTAAGAAGACAACCTCGTGATGGCAACAGAGGCACGGGCTTCAAGAGTGGGCACCACTGGAAGCAGGGGCCTCTGGACCCTTGGAGGGTAACGCAGACAGTGGGAAGCTGCGTTGGAGTGCAGGTCTCCAGATGCCTGACTGGACCTGCTACAGCGCCCAGGGCGGGCTCCTCCTGCAGAACACAGCCTGGCCCCGACAGCCACAATGGGCAAGGGATCCCAACTAGGTCTACTCTCCAGGTCCCAAGTGAGCCCTGTCATCTCTGGCAGCAACTGAGAAAACCAGAAAATAGACCTCATGCCCCAAATTGAAGTTCTCTGTACTAAACTGTGGGAGGAGGAGTCCTTGTGTGAGCTCCAGTGAGACTGGTCCTGGGCAGGAGAGATCCCCAGGGGAGGGGGGGGGGGGCCCTGTGCTGACGGAGCGCTGACCTGTCTGCTCCAGTAGCCCCGGCTGGTGGCACCACATGCCTGGGTGGTAGCCACTTTAGAAGCAGGCGGGCAGAAATGAAATGCCCCATTCCACAACTTTGGCACTGAACCCACGGGGTCACAAAACCTGGGAGGAAGAGGACGAAGGCCACCCCAGGTTCTCTCGGGTCTCTCCCAGGAAATCGARCTAAATGGGTCCAAGGCCAGGGAGACGAAGCCAGGCCCATCAGCAGGCAGCTACCGGAGGAGGTAAAGCCCAGAAGGGGGCAGCCAGCTCCTTGGCTTCCTTGTCTCAGCAGCTGGGGTGGGGAAGAGGGTCAGGGTCTTCCTGTTGCCTGAGCCCATGCACTTGTACCCTCCCCCATCTAGGAAAGGTGTGGACAAGTTGCAGCCTCTGTTCTGCTACTCTGCTCACTAATTAAGTGGGACTCCCGCTGTTCTGTTCTGGGTTGGGCTTTCCTTATGGCAGGATGCTAGTTCTGCTGAGCCTTAAGGCCCAGCCTGCAGCYAGCTGAACACAACCATCTGCAGGCCCCTGTGACTGTCACAGGCAGTCACTGACTGTGCCCACAGCCTGAGGCTCTGCATGGGGAGGCACACCTGGCTCCACAGCCTTCCAGGAGCCACACAGGCCTCTCAGCCTGCAGGTAGAGCAGACAGTACAAGTGTGCAGTGTCAAAACTCAGCAGCAGAGGAACACGATAGCTCCAGAGGATCAGGATACCTCAGGAGCTTTTCAGGAACGCCAGCAAGGCCAGGTGGTTCTGCTAAGTGCCTGCCTGTCTCCTCACCCCCCACTGCATGCACAGATGCACCTGTACACAAGCATGTCTGCAAGACGAGTGCCCCGTTCAGCAGTGGCGTTCCCTGCAAGTTCAGTCGCTAAACAGTATACACCTTTCATTAAGAAACGGTCCCATAAACTCAAGGTTGAGAAGCAGGAGGAAGAARAAATGCAGGACTGCTTTGCTCAGGACGAACGAAAAGGGAAGATGCAGAAAAAAACCCAGAATGGAGTTAGCTGTGGCTCTGGACGCCTATGGCACTCAACAGACTTAATGGACACTTGTGGGCYGGGCAGTGTGCTGGGGCTGGGGAGCTACCCAGAGCTGTTTGCTTCAGGCAAGCCCTTGGGCTTTCAGAGAAACCTGACCCAACGCCTCAACCTCAGAAGGAAGTGGCTGGGGTCCTGTGAGACACCGTGTGCAGCGTGATGCCTATGATGCTAACTACAGTTCTTTCAGATGCTTGTGCCTCGRCTGATGTCCCCCACTCCTTTGGGGCTCAGTAGGTTCACAAATACGAGGGTTCACAAATACGAGAAACTCGGACACGGGTTCCTCTCTTCACCTGCTCCCGACCTGAAGGAGAAGCCAAGTCTGCTAACACTCGAAACGCCCCGCGGAGACCCCCGGAGAGCCCCGGAGAGCCTGGGTCCCTGCGGGCGGCGGCCTCCGGGCTCCCTCCCGCTCCGCGGCCCCCGCTGACCTTGAGCGAGGCCAGGTGCGCGATGTCGGGGCTGAGCTCTCGCAGGCAATTGTCTGCGGCCGCCAACTCGCTGAGCAGGGGCAGCGCGCCGGGGCTGAAGAGCGCGGCGGGGAAGGCGTCCAGGCAGTTGCCGGTGAGGTTGAGGCTCTGCAGGCGCGGGGCGCAGCGCGCCAGGTCGGCGGGCAGCTCGCGCAGCCGGTTGCCGCTGAGGTTGAGGCTCTGCAGCTGCGGCAGCCCCGGCGGCTCCGCGGGGCCCAGGCCCTGGCCCGGCGGCAGCGCCTCCAGCGCGTTGCCCGACAGGTCGAGCACGCGCAGCGCTAGCAGCGGGCCCAGCTCAGGGCTCAGGCCGGGCCCCAGCGCGTTGCGCCGCAGCACGAGGCTGTGCAGCTGCGGCAGGCCCTGCGCCAGGCCCGGCCCCGGCGCGCGCAGGCTGCCACAGCCGCTCACCTCCAGGTAGTGCAGCAGCGGCAGCGTGAAGAGCCGTGGCGGCAGCCGCCCGCCCGCCGCCCGCACCCGCTCCTCCAGCCCCGGGCCCGTCAGCAGCAGCTCGCGCCGCCGCTCACGCTCCGCAAGCTCCAGCTCCGGCCAGGGCTCGGACACAGCCGCCGCCGCCATCGCGCCGCCGCCTGCCGCCGCGCGCGCCGGGGCTTCCGGGGCGCAGCGCGCCACTTCCGGCCAATGCCGGAAGAGGTCATAGAGAGCCCGTCCGATGGCTAGAGAGTGGCGGTGCGTGCCACAGAGAAAGGGCCCCAACGTGCGCGGCTAGCGCGGCGCGCGGGGCCCTGTAGGGCGTGAGGGGGCCTCCGCGGCGCAGAGACAGCCCGCATGCATGCGCCCTGGAGAGCCGCGGGTCGCAGGCGGACGCCAGTCACCTCCGGCTACAGCCCGACTCTAGAATACGGGCTGGATGCAGTGTCTGGATCATTCCTAGTGATTGGAGCGATAGGTAGGTAGGTAGGCCGATTGATGGTGGGGAGGAGAAGGTAAGTGACAGCAGGACGGTGACAAGCACTGAGARCTGAGCCTCGGGAGTTCTACCCTGGAGCTGCACCCCAGCCCGTTTKGGGTTTTATTTTGAGACAGGACCAGGCTGGCCTCGAGCCTGTGGTCCTGTGCCGCAGCCTCCCAGTCGCCGGGACTGCAGCACCAGGGGAGTGTCTAGAGGACGTGGGTTCTCTCCAGGGCGTAGGAGGGCCCCAGCTCCACTCTAGGGCCAGAAACTGAGGCCGAGTCAGCCGTGTGAGCGGGTCAGAAGCTCCGAGGTCTCTCAAGGTCCAGACAGCCTCCCAAGTTCCTCTGCACACGCTCAGACCAGGGAGTCCCTCTGAAGGGGCGTGGAGGCAGCAGAGGCTTCAGATTTACCCAGGGTGGGCCCTGCCGCCCGGCTGTGCAGTGTGAGTGTTGGAACCCAGCTCCCAGKGCTGTCACTAAGGACCATACTCCTGGCCGTGGGTTCTGGAATGGTTGCAATGAGGCCAGGCTAAGGGCTCATGGGACAACTTCTGGGACTTGCCCCATCCMTGCAGCAGCAGCTCACAGGGTCCCTAAACCCTGTCTGACCATCCTAACACAGCTTGGACCTCCCCAGCTTTCCAAATGAGGATTCTGGCCAAGGTTCCACTCTTGCTGGGGAGCAGGAGCTAAGTGACAGTGGGGGCAGGTAGAGACTACAGGGGACGAGCCAGTGCTCAATGCTGTCATGAATGATGAGGGGATGGGATCATTTCAGAACAAATCTCATCTTCAAGAACCAACAGGCAACGACATAATGGAGAACACCTAATTCGAAGCKTGCGCTGTGAAGGCACGTGGGTAGGTGTGAGCCCTGTGTATGTGCTGGAGCCTCAGACCCCAGGCCGCTATCTTGGGCAGCAAGTGGTGCCTTTTCCAGACACCTTCCCACCTCGCACTCTACAAAGCACACGCAGCATTAGCCAAAGTCAGCTCCAAATTTTGAAGCAATACATTTGAACTTAAGTTTTAAGTTCACCTGTACCTGTGTAAAGAACAAAGCTGCACATACAAGACTTTAACATGGGAATAATTATAAAATCACTTATATAATATATAATCAACTCACTACGAAAGCTGACAAACCGAGAAACCACTCTGCACCATGTGGAGAAAACGCTGCATATGATCTTATTTGAAGATCAAATAMCCTTGTTGGTTGGTAGAAAAGGCGGAAGACACAGGGACCACGCGGTGCAACCTCCCCTGGGCGCAGCTGGAGGACACAGGACATTCTGAGCCTAGTTAGTGGACACACTGAGCATTCTGGGGTTTTCCCACAGGAGGGAGCTGGTCAACAATTCAGTCTATGTAGCTACAAGTCTTCTAGCTTCTCCAGCACAAGCCCATTGGACGACTGGTCCAGCAGCTGGACCCCAATTGCCTCCCTCCTCTGTGGTTTCCAACCTGCCACCCTCAGTTTCAGGCTGAGCTACATGTGTGATYAATAATGTCAAAGTTATTTACAGAGTGCTTTTCAATTATAATCTTGAAATAAAAGTGACAAAACACTTGGTGATCTTTTTATTAATATACTCAAGGTGAATTAACCCTTAAGCCCTAATAACAAAAAATATATTATTTATTTTATAATTCTGGTACCTGAAATAAAGACAAATAGAAAACTGTTAAAACATTAAAAAGTTGCAAATTTTCATTAAAAGTATTTACATTTCTATTGTGAAATTTATAGGTACAATTTAAAATTTTTAAATTATATTAATATCCTGAAATAGAAAATAATAAATACAATTAAATATCCAGAACCTATTCATAAATGAAAATTCAATTATTAATTAGTATTCTGAATTTAGATATTTATTTATGAATGGCTGAGGGATCTTGTGGTTCCATTTATATTTTCTCCCTTTATTCCTGGTCCCTGGATAGTGTGTAACTGTGAAAACTTCAGTGGCCACTCCTCACTGCTAGGATCATTTCAGCAAAGCACATGATTCTTCTGTCACCAGCAAAAGAGCAGAGGAGGAGCCYAATTTTGTTGATCAATCACTAAAAATGAAGTATTTTTACAAATATCTTCTTTAAGTTAGAGCAGAAAACATTACATGTATCTTTCTGAAGTTTTGTTCAAAGAGAAAAGAATAATTCCTTGGTTAACTTTTCTCATTTTACTTAAAGGAGTGTCTCACCTGTACTGGGGGGGGGGGGCGGCAGTTAGAAACCAAGGCCGCCATGTTGGAAGTGAAGGAGCATGTTGGACGTCCTGGCATCCATGCTGTGCCGTGTCCCACACCTGAAAGATGTCTAATAGGTAGGCCTTGTTCTCACCCAGTACTCCGAGACAACCCTAATGGAGGTACTAATTTGGGAACTGAAGTGATTAATGGTTATTAACACACCCAGGAGTCGGGGCTCATGAGGCTGTTGGTTACCATACCTTTTGTGGTTTCACATGGTTGGGAATTAAAAACACTCATACACTAATCGCACCATACTCATTTCCTCAGTCCAAACACTCCTAAGTGGCATTCTGAAAGCCTGCTGTGTGGCCTCAGGGAGCAAGCACAACCCTGGCCACTGGTGGACTGGGCACCTGGGTGCAGAGACAGCATCATGAGGTGAGGATGTTCTGGGGCTTTTCCGGCAGGTTCCAGATGGTCCTGGGCCTCTCCACGCAGCTGTGGGAAATAGCAGGTCTAACAAGGAAGCCGAGGCCTCCTGTGGGGAGGGTGGAGGAGCTGTGTCATCTCCTGAGCAGCGCTTTGGTGTGAACTGCTGGAAACAGGTGGACTTGTGGTCCCAGGTACAGTATGGCAAGGAAGGATGGAGGACAGACCTGGCCGAGGGGCTGGGCCTGCGGAGTACGTGGGATGCTTCTGGTGGGTCAGCAGACGTGGAAGATGCTGCAGGCAGAAACAAAACAGGTTTGGAGACGGGCGTCCTGTGGCCAGGTGAGTGCAGGGTCACTGGGAAGTCACTCCACACTCCTTCCTCAGGACACTGCCAGTGCAGAGCAGCTGCAGCCCCAGGCAAAGGCATGACCAGCCTGCGGCAGGAAGCAAGCCAGGAGCAGGGCACGTGCTGACGGGGTCACTTYAGGATCTGCTTTCCAGGTTTTCTTCTTAACCATTTCTTCCTGTCACAGTGGACACAGTCCTGCAGACACTGGCCTTGCTTCCCTGTGACTACTTGGGCTGAGTGGAGACTGATGGGCTTGAGGAAAGGCACAGTCAGATGCTTGTTCTGAACTCTGCCCCCCCAGGGCCATTGGGCACTGCTCGTGCCCTGTACAGTCTGCCATTTGCGACGAGGACTCATGAGCCAAAGGCTTCGGTGACTTTTCCAGGCAGCAAGGAGGAATATGCTCCGTGTGCYGATCCTCCCCGAGCAGTGGCTTCTGGCCCATGTGTCTCTGTCCTAATAGAAATCAGGACTGGAGCTCAGCACGCAGGGCGGCGGGGCCCCGACGGTGGGGCTCTTTGGTCAGATTCACATACATCACTTGTAGGACAGCAGAGAGCTGGCACAGGAGAGGCCTACGGCAGCAGGGACAGAGACAGGGCTGGTGCGTCCACAAGAGTTTTAGGAGAAATGGTTTGGGAACACTTGCCCAGTCCCTGGTGGACAGGGCACGGAAGGTCCCGTGTCACCGCTTTGTGTGTGTCCTGCTGGAGCTTTTGCTCAGGCCTCCCTTTGGGGTGGGGATCTTGCTTCCAGACTTGGCTCCTGAGCTGCCTGACTTGGTCCCTGCGAGGCCTCTTCCTGTGGCATAGACACACACGACATGGGACTACATTAGGATGGTGACTCATGCCCATGGTGGCAGTGTGAATGGCAGGAGGAACCCACCCTGAGCAGCTGGGCCTGAGAGGCCAGGGACCATGTCTCCCAGCCTGGAGGTGTCAGCACAGTGGACAGAGGTGGAGTTATGGTGTCTCCTGAAGACAAGAGAGGTGAGCTGTCAGGCCGAGCGCCTCACCCTAACCAGGGCATTACCCACGCAGGGGACACCTGGGTGGTAACTGGAGGCTGGAGGAGGTGGGTCACTGGGGGTGGGTTTTGCCCCTCTTGAACTGAGCTCAGTCTGTCTCCCAAGCTGCCATGTCCTGGGTTGCCTTCCTCCACCACAGGATGGCTGCTTGCCTCAGGCCCAGAGCAGTGGAGTCGGCCATCTCTGGACTGAGACCTCAAACTGTGAGCCCCAAATAAACTTTTCCTTCTCTAAAATTGTCCCCGTCAGATTTTTTGGTCACAGAAGTAAAAAAAGCTGACCACAACAAGTGCAGCGTGCGGAGCTGTGCAAGGCCACAGGTGCAGGTGCTCAGGTGGCAGCAGGAGAGGACAGGACAGTCTCAGGGGTGCAGAACAGGGCCAGTTACCCGACCGTCATTCTAAGAACACAGTCCTCGGCACGCAGCAGGTGGCTGTGCACTGAGGCAAGCCTCCTGGCTGAGGGCCTGGGCCCTGTCCACCTATCTGTAAGAACTGGACGGGGATGACCTCTGCTCGAGCGCCTCAGCGTGGAGCCAGCACAGACCTGCTGCCGCAGATACCACCCCGTCCCTACGCGGCACGCCTGAGGTAAGCGTGCAGAAGTCTCCAGCATGGCAGGTGGCTAATAAACCAGACGGTGGGTGGCTCTGCAGGGTCTACCTCTTTGTTCCTAAATCCTTCAGGCAGTCACACAGGCAGTGCTGAGGAGCAGCATGGCACCCAGGAGGGCCTGGCCTTGTGGATCAGTTCTCTGGGACCCGGGAGAAGCAGCCACAGTGGGCGGAGAGGGGCTGTGGCATGATTGACTTGCTCCTCATTAGGGAACCGGTACACAGCCAGGGACACTGATCAAAACGGCCCCAAGGCCTGCATGAACCTCACCTGGGAGCGCAGCCTGGGCCTTGTGCAGGATGTGTGTCTTGCGTAGGTTCCTCGTGCAGCCGGCAGGGCCCATCAGGTGCTCCTTCCATGCCTGCAGTGAGAGGAGGCAGTGGCATGCCCACCTGGCCACCAGGACGACTCACTGCTCCGTGTCGACATGGAGCTCCAGAGCTGCAGAGGCCCTGTGCCCTGCTTGTGCCCAGACCCTGGCCACCAGGGTGACTCACTGCCCCAACGACACTGAGCTCCAGAAGTTCTGTGCCCAGCCCCTGTGTGCTACCACAGGGGGAGGCCCTCGTGAGAGTGTGCACATGTGTGTGGTTGGGGGCGAGGCAGAGCACCCCCCGGGCCTGCTGGGCTGCACTCTCCTCATCTTGGCTTCTCCTTAAGCACCTCACCTGAGGCCCTAAGGAGTGTGCSCTCACACAGCCTGGACAGAGGGTGCTCTGGGCTCCCTCGGGGCCATGAGGGGTGCTGCTGGGGTACACAGAGCATGTGCCACACACACAGCCCTGCAGGAGGGCCTGGCTATCCCCAGTCTCTACCCGAGCTCCCTGCAGCACTGTGCTGTGCTCTCCGAGGTGCCCCATGTGCATTTTACATGTATTTTTGTGGTGTTGAGGATGGAAGCCAGGGTCTTGGGCATGCCAGGAAAGTGGTCTTCCACTGAGCCACACCCCTCACCCCAGACCACCATCTTAAGACACGGCCACTGGTCACKCGACCCCGTCTCAGGGCTGCATTCTGCCTTGCCCCAGCCCACTCCGTCAGACCTTGCCCTGGGCCCTCCAGGCCCACAGACCTTCCTGTGGCTAAAGTGAGGGTGCCTCCCAGGCTCACCTGGCTGGTCAGCAGCAAAGGCACATGGCTCATCCCTCCCCTGCTGGCTTGGAGGGAGGGGGCTGCATGCTAAACCTATGGGTAGGGCTACTGGGCCGAGGAGTCCTGGAGCTGGGAGAGGCCCTGGCTGACAGCTGGCAGGAGAACAGGGACACAGTTGGATGACCACAAGGAGATATTCCTGCCAGCTGCTGGAAAGTGGCTGCTTCCCTAGCCAGGCCCGCAGCCCGGCCAACAGTGAGGAGGCGGCTCAGGGAAGCCAGGGAGGTCAATCACCTGCTCCTGCTGTGGATCCTGAGGCCACGCCATGAGCACAGGCAGGCAGTGTGGGGAGAGCACTACTGGTAGGAGCCGGCAGGAGCTTCTGGCTGCCTTGCAGCCACTGCCAACCACAAGGGCGGCACTGATGCCGGTCAGGTGCTGGGGAAGAGGTGGTGAGGAAGGAGGCYACTAGCTGCCTGCTGCAGGCAGTCGCCCAGAGGGACTATGGGCGCCACAGGAGCAGGTCAGTGAGGCCGCCATCAGAATGGAGCAGCAGAGGTTCTGGGTTCAGGCAGGAGAGAGTGCTCCTCCACGTGTGAGACCCACTCACAGTAAAGACGAGAGCACACCAAGGCTAGTCCCAGGAGGGGCAGCAGGGGACAGTACAGCAGCTGCGGCCTTGCTGTGCTCTTCCTGCCACATGGATGATTATAAAGATCTGGGAGACACGAATCCTGTGTGATCATGGAACTCTAAAAGTTTACACGTTTACTGTGGGAGGCGTGATCAGCTGGAGCTAAGCCAAGTGACCTGGGACAGCGGATCCTACTTGTGTCACTTTCAGACTAGGTGTGGAACAGATCGAGTCTCCCTGAGCAGCACTGTCTCCCTGGGGGGGCGGGGGGCAGAAAACAGGGTCCATCTACCATGCCCTAATTGTGTCTCCAGGGTCACTGGGAGCGGGGCTCTCAGGATGGGCAAAGGACACAGACATAGGCAGCAAGGTGAAGAGGCCGTGGCCAGGAGAGTGAGGAGGAGACTCTTGGGTCACTGAGCAGCCTGGCAACAGGACCCACCCAGCAGCAGTGAGGAGCCTGTGTGTGGGAGCCCGGCCGGGGCACATGGCACCAGGCAGGAGAAGCACCTGGGCCGCTAGGGCTAGGCCAGAGGCCGGGAGCCCAGTGCAGAGTAGTGGGTTGGCGGAGGTAGGGTCTCCACTGCAGTGTCCCCACATGTCCAGCCCATGCTGCTGCCTGGACCTCCTTTTCTGACACCTCCTTCCAGTCCGTCTGGAAAACGCCACTGACTTGGCTAAGGGACTGAGGTGCTCCTGTGCCTTTCTCATGCAGAATACAACCTCAGGTGGTGAAAGAACAGGTGTGCTTCTGCTTAAAGAACATTCTGGCTGTGGATGGAGGAGGGGCAGAATCAGAACACTCTGCCGCCTCCGATGGAAGAGCCCGCCATGCCCACCCCAGCTCTGCACCTGATGAGCACAGAACACAGGAGGACCCGCTCAGAACATTCAGCCTACAGAGACCCCAGGGGCCGCAGGGCCTTTCCTCATCAGAGGCTGGAAGCAGAGAGAGCTGTTGACAGCAAGGTGTGCTCCATGCCCTGGGACATGGGTGCTCCACAGTGTGCCCCAGGGACACTGGGCACAAGGCCCAGTCGGCAGGTGCTATGTGAAAGCTCTGCACTAAGACACCTGTGAGGGTCTGGGATTGTGGCAGTAGAGCGCTCGCCTAGCACAGGCAGGACCCAGGTTCGATCCTCAGCACCACATAAAAAAATAAAAAATAAAGGCATTGTGTTGTGTCCATCTACACCTAAAAAAAAAAAAAGACACCTGTGGGTAAGACCGCGATGAGAGGCGGGGAGCCCGTGGGGCTGAGGGGGGACAGGCTAGGGACAGTGCTTGCAGGGCACCTGAGAGCTCTTTGTTCCCTTTTGTGTACTTTGTGAGCATTTGAAACTTGCAGGTTGGAGGAGGGAAGAGCGAGCCAGGGAGGGAGCGCACCAGGCAGGGCGGGTAGGACCCTGGCAGAGTGTGCTTGGGGACAGTATCTTTCCTGCTTTATGTGAGCTTTCTGTGGTTGAGCGACTGCTTGGTTTGAGCCATCTGCTGGGACACGGAGAGTCCAGCATCAAGACAGCAAGTGGATGGCAGGAGACAAGAACTGAGAAAGTGGGAGAGGAGAAAAGCGGGTCTCCAGGGCCGGCCTGCCCTGTCCGGCACACAGAGGTAGCACTAGCACACTGCGCAGAGCCTGGATGCCTCTGTCACCTGAGAAGGGAGACGTGGGAAGAGGTGGTGGGCATGGAAGAGTTGCCCCTCCCCACCAGCCCTCAAGTCACACTGCAGCATGGGCAGGGTGGAGAGGAGCACCTGGTCTGGGGTGAGAGGTAGGCTGCCTCACCAACTGGGCCAAGTCTTCTTCACCAATAAGCCCAGGGCCAGTGAGTTACAGACCCTGCCCGGGGGCCCCAACAGATGAAAGCAATGACCCCAAACCCCCAAACCACGTGATGCTGGAATCCCAACCAGGTGAGACTCTTCAAGTAAACTGTGGAAAAAGGTGAGGGCAGGAAGTCAGGGGAAGAGGCAGGTGAGCGGCACCCTGCTCCGACAGAGTCACCCTGGACACCTCAGCTGCGGCCAGCACCAGCACCGCCGGCAGCGGCTAAGGGTGTGCTCACCTCCATGGTGCTCACTCCCCCGGGGAACACCCCTCACCTCTTCTCCAGGTGTGAAATTCTCATGGCACAAAGGACACCGGTTGGCCAGCTTCTCTGATTTGGCAGCTGAAATGATTGAAATGGAAAAGACTGGGCGACTTGTGGCAGTGGGAGCAGGGCRCAGGGACTGCCTGCTTGCCTGGCAGACACTAACCACACACAGGTCCCTGCGACACCCTGCTGCAGCTGCCCTGCGCAGGGGACACGTGGTGGCCAAGGGCACTCACGGTTGCAGACACCCTGCTGCAGATGCCCTGCCCAGGGGACACGCGGTGGCCGGGGACACTCACGGTTGCACTCCTTCGCCTTTATGTGCCTGGGCAGCTCTTCTTTCCGCACGGCCTCGCTGCAGCGGTGGCATTTGCCAAACCCGTCTTTCTGGTCACATTCTGTCAGCAGGTGCTCTGTCAGGCTGGAGATCTCCACCACCTGGACTCCGAAACACAGGGTGCTGCTAGATGCTGGTCTGTCCTGCCAGGGCCACCTGCAGAGCTGGAGCCCGTAACGCAGGACAGCTTCTCTGTCATTCCACACGAAGGCCAGCCAGAGAACCTCTGTGGTGTGTGACTCTAGTCATCTGTCACACTTGTCATGTCACCTTGGTACCACTCAAGGTTGTGCCAAGAGGCCGGCACGGGGGCTGCAGTTGAGTATGACCAGCTCCTGGGGCAGAGCAGCCCGCGGCTGAATGTGTGCCCTGGGCTGGAGGCCTGGCTCCCCAGTGTTGCTTTCTCTCTCTTTTTTTTTGTGGTCCTGAGGGTGGACCTGGGGGTGCTCTGTGTGACCAGCGTCCACCAGGGGCAGCTGTATTCCCAGCTCCTCTGAGAAAGGGTCTCACTCAGTTGTCTGGGCTGACCTTGAACTTGTGATTCTCCCACCTCAGCCTTCTGTTCCTGGGTAGCCCCCAGTAGTTGGGGTTACAGGCGTGTGCCACCATAATGGGCAACGATTTTTTGGGGGGAGTGTACTAGAAATTGAACCCAGAACTTCAAGCAAGCCAAGCAGCACTCTGCCACTGACCTGTGCCCCAGCCCGTCCCCAGCATTTCTAAGGATGTGCACAGAGGCAGGGTCCTCCCACCCCTGACACCTTTGGCAGGAATGACTTGTGTGCCCTCTAGAACTTAGTGCTAAGGCTCCACTCACTGGGGGGGGGGGTCAGTCTGTGCTCCCAGGGGAGGGGCAACAGCTCTGAGGGCAACTCTGCCCACAAACCCCTTCCTGTGGGCCTGAGTCTCAGAGCAAAGAACACATGTCCACTGTCCACTTGGTTCTCTAAGAAAGAAGGCCTGTCACTGTAAAACCCAACTGCAGTGGATGTGCCTAGCCACACCCTCGGCCCTTTTTATATTTTATTTAGAGACAAGGTCTCACTAAGTTGCTAAGAGCCTTGCTAAGTTGCTGAGGCTGGCTTTGAACTCTCAATCCTCCTGCCTCAGCCTCCCAAGCTGCTGAGATTATAGGTCTGTACCACTGTACCACTGTACACTCGGCTGTGTTTCTCAAGTGTAAATGGTGTCACGGATCAATGACACATTGGACCCCAGCCTAAACTTACAATGAGTTGCTGTCTTCATGGTTTTCAGGGCTGGCTGATGACACTGACCATTTCTGTACTAATTGTTCACAGACAACAAGGCTCCACTGTGTTGTCCACTGCTGTCTTGGCATGACCCCTGCCCTGTGTGTGCCTTGTCCAGTCACAGGCCACTGCCACCACGACCTCCAGGCCACCCTGAGGCAGAGAGGCCCAAGCTACAAATGGCTCTTCCAGTAAAACCCCAAACAGAATTCCACCCACTAGGGGCCCCTGGAGGCTCCGTGGAGGACCTGCTGCCATGCCCTTGCCGACGCCCCGTCAAGCTTGAAGGCACCAGAGCAGCCACCACTCAAGTTCCCCGATGGCAAGTCAGAGTGACCTCTTCAGAGGGGACTGAGTGCAGGAGCCAGCAATGTGGTGGGCAGGCAGGGAGGGGACCACCACTGCAGCCACTCCCTGGACAGAGCCTCCGATGGGCCAGCAGCGCGTGACCAAGCACAGGACAGCACCTGCCTGGAGGGGAGTGATCGTGGAGGGTCTCATGTGGAGGCAGCAGCTCCCCTCCTAGAAGCCATCAGCTCCAGCAACACCATGTAGACTCCAGGCAGCGGCAACTCGGCCACCACCAGCCTGGGACCCTCTCTGGGGGAGCGCCACTCCTTTCTGTTTCAAAAATAGTTACTTTACTCTCAGGGGAGAAAAAAGGAGAGCCGCTGTGGAGGAGAAGACGTTGGAAACTTAGAGCAGGGTTCCTTAAAGAGGACAGAGGACGAGCCACAGACTGGCRAGGGGAGCTCTGCAAGCAGATGGCGGAGACCGGGAGCAGGTGCCCGGTTCCTCCACACAGCAAGGCTCAGGCTCAGGCGTGTGGACGGCCAAAGCCAGGAACAGACTGGCTGCTCAGGACAGGAGACCACAGGCCCTTCACAGAAGAGGACGCCGAGGGCCAAGGACCCAGTGGCACTGCGCTTCACACCACAGGGCACTGGCACTGGAGGCCTCCAGGTGTGCATGCAGGTGCCCCCTCCCAGGTGGCCTCTGCCTCTGGGGGCCACCAGCTGGCATGGCCACTCTGCACTACTCCGTGGCCCTGCTTGGCAGCCGAGCGCCCGTGGCCCAGCAATCCCTGCAAGGCGCATGTGCACTCAGATGCCACAGCAGAGGCTTCACAGGGGCCCCAGCTGCCTGCAGCTGGGCCACAGCTGGGTGCTCGACACCTGCCATGCACTCGAGCCTGGGCGCGGCAGAGCGGGCGCCCATCCACCTGGCACGCAGGGCAGCAAGCTGCAGGGTCCCACTCACACAAAGCCCCCAAGCCACACCAGTGGCAGGGTGGGGACCCGAGGGGCCCCCTCTCTGCAGGCCAAGGCTGCACAGGCCACCACTGCTCTTCTCAGGACTCCCCCTGAAACTACCAAGACCCGGGACAACTCCGTGATGTGGCCTCTCAAAACCTGGCATGCACGTCAGCGCGGGGCCGCSGGGGCCGGCGCCTCACCTGTCTGCAGTGGTCGCATCTGGTCAGCATGAGGCAGTGCTTCCAGTAGTGCAGGTCCAGGCCCTCTTCTGTGAAGGACTCGCTCCTCTCCCCACAGAAAATGCAGAGGCTGAGGGAACAGGAGCAGGTGGAGGCCAGGCCCTCGCCCGGGAGAAGCTCTGGACCCCTCCACCCGACGGCCTGGGCTTCCTCAGGCAGTCCTTCCACCCCTGACCTGCCATGGTCAGGGGTGAGCTCAGGCCCTAGTCGGAGGAGTGCTGGGGTCACTGACACACAGGAAGGGACTTCCCTATGTCTCCTGCATATCGGTCCTGGTCCCTGAGTGGCGAAGAGCACTTCACAGCCACAGGACTTCTGACAAACAGGGTGACTTCTGTGGACCAAGAAGGGACGGTGGTCTTGCCGGGCTCAGCTGAAGCTCATCAGCTTAGGGCAATTTTCCAGGCTTTAAAAATCATGGGAGAGAGCCCATAATCGATGGCCCAAGTGAGCCAGGGAGGAGGTGTCTGTGCTCAGTGCTCCTGGTGGGTCCCTGTGGCCCCACAGGCAGGCCAGGGCAGTACTCACTTGTCCAGGTAGTGGTTATCTGGAATTTCCGGATCCTCAGGTGGGACTGCTTTCTTTCCTTGAAGGTTAAGAGAGAACRTGAGCCAGCTCTGTGGAGAAGTGCCTGCAGCTCAGGGAAAGTCCCCGGGAAATGACTTTCTAAAAAGGCAGAGCTGCTCCACACACAGCCGAGGGTGTGCGATGTACTGCCGGCCCTCCCTGGCACTGCTGCGGGCCCTCGGGGTCTCTAGGTGGCCTCTGGGTTGCAAATACCTACCCTGATTCTTGGGCCTCACGGTATCGATGTCCTTCTCCTAGGACACAAAACAGAAGCATCAGGGACAAGTGCTGAGGTCACTGTGGGCCACAGTCCACCTGGGCTGGTGCCCACAAAGGGACACAGACACAGCCCTGTGCTGGCTCTGGACCTGAACAGCCCCGTGAGTCGGCCACATCTGTCTCCTCACTTGTAAACACAGGTGTGAGTCCACATGCCTGGGGGCAGCCCGAGGAGCGGCCACCCACGTCCAGCACAGTGGCAAAGGAAGCTCCTCCTGCCCCCTTCGCCCAGCTCAGCAAGTGCTCTGTGGCCCCCGCTCCTCTGCAGGGTGTTTCCCTCCCCCACTGGTGACCATGCCTTCTCCCCTTTCACACCTGTGCCAGACCCACCCTCTTTGCTGCACCCGGTGCTCAGGGCGGCAGGCGGCTGCAGGCAAGCGCCCCGCACACACTGGTGACTGAGCTTTCGCCCACAGGCGACCTCCCGACTCGCTGACGTTCTCTTTCTATGGGAAACTTTCCTTCAACTTCAGGAACTGAATCACAACTAATTTCAATTCCAGAAGCAGGGCAGCCTGGAAGGGGCACGTTTGTATCTGACCAAACTGAATCCAGGCCTCCCACTCAGGACGCCGTTAGACTGGATGGTGACCCCAAACCTTGCTCAGCAATCTTCAGATTTGGGTGCATGTTTTCACTCTGCCTCTGGAGGAGGCAGGGAGCTCTCTCAATTCCCATTTCCCTCACCTGTCTCTTCCCTCCATAATCCTGGCAGCAGAGCAGAATATTCAACCAAATACTCCACGTCTAATTCCATCCACTACCCAGCAGACTTTTAAAAAAATCAACCCCCAAACCAATTCAGGAACATGCGAGAACAGCGACTGTCACCTGCATGACTAACTCCCACGCCAGCCAAGCCCCGCGCTGCCCCCATCACCTGCACAACCCACGGTCAGTCAAGCACCCGTTGGTACCCAGGGAATTCCAACTGAAAAACTCTGGCAGACGGGCCAGCTACCCACCTGGACGTGGGCCTGCGTCTCCTGCAGCGCGGCCAACTGCCCCTGCAGAACTTTGATCTCTTCCTTCTTCTGTTTTTCTGCTTCTTCTGTGGCTGCTCTTTTCTGTGCCTGGTTAAAAAAAATATATATATATATATATATATATATATATATATATTTTTTTTTTTTTTTTTTTTTTTTTCCTTTAGAGTAGCTTTTTGGGGCAGTCTCAGACATTGGCAGACAGAAGCACACGAGGTACGTTTTACACACTACAGNAAAAAAAAAAAAAAAAAAATATATATATATATATATATATATTTTTTTTTTTTTTTTTCTCCTTTAGAGTAGCTTTTTGGGGCAGTCTCAGACATTGGCAGACAGAAGCACACGAGGTACGTTTTACACACTACAGCAGTCACTGACACTAACATGACCACCGTTAAAGTCTCAGGTCCATTGAGTACCCGGCTACTGACAAACTGCCAATGACMACTCTTCATGTGAGCTTCCCGTGCAGGAGTAGAGGGTTCAGGCCCCGAGTTGGGGAACACAGCCTTCACCAGGCCCCTGTGCTTCTTGCACACAGGGCTCCTGACGTGGGTTATTTACTCATGTTCTAAGCAACTTTGTTTATTTTTAAAAATACATTCTTTTTTTAAAAAAACATCTGTTTTTTAGTTGCATGTGGACACGATACCTTTATTTTATTTTTGTGTGGTGCTGAGGATGGAACCCAGGGCCTCACATGCACTAGGCAAGCGCTCTGCCAGTGAACCACACCCAGCCCCTCTAAGCAACTCGAGACCTGCTGCGACCACCCAGGAGGGCCGGCTCACCTTCACTTCAGCATCCGTGGGCCTGCCGTCTATTTTAGCAAATCCCTCAAAAATAGTTTTATAGAGGATGTTCCTGCGTGTGCTGCTGTCATCCGGAGGAAGGTACTCCAGGGTGAGAGCCTGGTGCTGCCTGTACATGTCCAGAATGATTCTGACTGCTGTTTCTCGGACCTCATACACTCTGTGCTCCAGGGCGCTCACTGCAAACTGGAAACAAAGTCGGAAGGTTTCTCGTTACTGGTTCTCACAAATTAATTTGTTTCAGCATAAAAAACAATACAGGTTTGTTATAAAAATGTGAAAATTTTTATTTTTGTTTTTTATTGTTATAAAATTTTGAAAAATAAAGAAAAAACAGACACAACCCCAAATATCAAGATGCAGAGACCCCTCCTGATAGTTGATCTTGCAGATACAGTTGAACCCATGATTGATCCGTATGCTTTTCCCAACTGAATGAGTTAACAGGCATCTTTAGGTTATATCCTTCCATAAACAACTCCTTCTGATTCTTCTCCTTTTTTTTTTTTTTTTTTGATGGCACCCAGGGCCCTCTATCATTGAGCTATGTCCCCAGCCCTTCTGTTTTGAGATAGGACCTTGCTGAGTTGCCCAGGCTGGCCTTGAACTTGCCATCCTCCTGCCTGCCTCCGCCTCCCAAGTAGCTGGGACTACACATGGAGACCTCTGTGCCCAGGACCACAGCCTCATAGTAAGTATTCTAAAATATTCCAAATATGTGTAAGAGGAAAGAAAACCTCATGGCTTCCCCATCTGAATTTAACAAATGCTTTAATTCCRCTGCCTATTTTGGACCTTTCTGTTTTTAAGAAGTGCAATGCTGTGGCTGCTGTGCAGTCCCTCTGCGTGTCTCCCAGGCCCACGGGCTTCTCCTTGGAGGCCCTGCTCTCCTGAACTCGTGTGTGTGCTGCCCAGGCGCACAGGCTGAATGTGACCTGTGTCCCTGGGTCTTTTGCTGTAATGTCATAAACAGCACACGTGGGTGGGGTTGTGGGTCAGCGGTAGAACACTTGCCTGGCATGTGTGAGGCATTGGGTTTGATTCTCAGCATCACAAATAAATAAATAAGTAAATAATAAGGTCCATCAACAGTGAAGAATAAATACATAAACAAACAGCACACATGCTGATTCCAAAGCCCTCCTTTTCCCACCAGGTCTGTGCACGCCCCCCTCAGCTGTCTCTTCTACTCCTTCCGACCCCTCTGTCCTCTGTGGTGGGGCACCAGTCACATTCCAATGCCTCTTTGATACCGCTGTGGTGGGGCACCAGTGACATTGCGACGCCTCTGTGGTGTGTCAGTGAACACACTAGACCACCCTTCCCCTGTCCCAGGCAGTGGTCCCTGGTGCCTGGGCCTCTGGTCACTGGGCTTCCTCACTTCCACRGGCTCGGCTTGAGGCACACACTGCCGAGCTCCACCCCAGATCTCGTCATCAYTGTCACCCCATTCAAGAAGGACTGGTCTAAGGGCACTGAGCTCTGGTCACCATCTGCTGCCTGCCCAGCTCCTCTTCCGCCCCTCCACCCATCAGAGCCTCAGTCCAGCCTGTCCACCTGCCGCTGTGCTCGCCGTCCTCCCATCCTCGGCCTTGGCTGCCCTGACTGCAGCTGGCAGCGTACAGTCCCCTGTGCAGTCATTCCTGCATTCACAGACATCCACACAGCCCAGTCCTCCTTCCTTTGCCATGCCAGGTGGTGCCAACTGTGACAGCAGGTGCCACGATCACACTGCTGGTTCAGACTTGAGACCACACGTCAGGGGTGCCCCAGGTACTACTCAGACTTCCACGTGACCGTTTCAGGCTCGCTCTGAACCTCCCTGAGCTCCGAGGGGCAAGGTGTGGTCTGCTCCTGAGGTTGGCCCCTCTGTGCACAGACTGATGCCTGTCCACTCCCAGGCTCCACCCTGTCGCTGGCCCACTTCATCTCCTATTTAACCTCTCCTCTCGGTTTCCCCCACCTGGACCACGGCACAACACCAGGCCAGCTGGCTTTGCCCTGTGCCCAGCTTCACCACGCTCTTCTCCRGGATTGGCCATCTCAGTGGAAACTCTCCACAGATGCGCTCTGGTCACTTTCTTCTACTTGGTGGCAATGGAGGTGGCATCATTCTCGAAGGACACTGAGTCCTTGAGTGACTGTATGGAGCAGAGCTCCTCTGTCCTTGCAAACTGCATCAGTTTGCTCTGGGCTGTTGGACTGTGGGCGTCTGCGATGCGCAGAGCTCCCTCCAGCCAGGCTGAAGCTGACCTGCAGTAGGGTGCTGCTGTGGGAGGAGAGGGGGCGACACACCTCGCAGGGCAAAATGGTTGCTTACTGACTGCGACTCAAGGCAGATGCAGGCCTGCTGAGCTGGCAGCACGGGGAGAAAAGGATGGGAGTAATTAGAGCACTGGTGTGTGTGGGCTACTACCAGCGGCCTCTGACAAGGCAAGAGAAAGAGCTGAGCTCAGCACAGGACGGCCAGCTTGAGCAAAAAGGGCCCACGGGAAGCCTGGGCCACTGGAGCGTATCATCCTCTGCAGTGTTCACAGAAGGTCTCAGTGTGGAAAGGAGCCCACAGGCCCGGTAGAGGCAAAGACCAGTGTCCACTGACCTTTCAGACTGCTTCCCACCATGAACCAGCATCGCCCACATCACACACCAGGAATGGGGGGATCAGTGCATGCAGACGGGGTGACCTCATGCGCTGGCATGAGGTCAGGCTCGCACTCGCTCATGGAACACTGATGGGACTCTCCACGCTCAAGGTCACAGTGGCTAGCACACGGCATGAGGTGGCTCACCTTCATCACACTGTCCACCGTGAAGCCCGTGCTCCCGGTGCCCAGGTCCCTCAGCAGCCGGGCCAGGAGGTCCATCTGACTCATGGCCAGATGAGCCGAACAGTTGACTTTTAAAGGCTGCACCAAGTAGGATGGGATGATCTGGAGAGGCTTCACCTCCTTAAACAAGGCCATTTCCTGTGGAGAGCAACAGGAAAGCACGAGGGATGATTCCACACCACCTGGCAAGACTTCCCACCAAACTTGGAAGGAACAGAGAGGACAACAGGTTGCAGAATCGTCATGGGCGTGCAAGCTCACACTTGTGTGAGAGGCATAACAGGGAAGAACACACCACCCAGAGGCTGGTGAGCGCCTGTAGGAATAGCCCAGAACATGAAGGTTTCGGTTCTTGGTGCTCCTCAACCAAGAAAAGGTTCTCTGATTTCTAAAATCCTAAAAAAAATTACAGTCTTGTAGCTGAGGCCATTATTTTAGTATTTCATGTCAACCAAGAGAGTAACAATGTACAATTCTCTTGTTAATATGATTAAAATGAAAAAACGAGCAGGATTACATATTTATTAAGTGTCTAAACAAACAGGKTTTTCTATGGCCAGAACGTCTGTGATTTAATTAGCCAGCAACAGAGGAATGGGTAATGAAGTGCTGAAGCAGGTGAGCTGGGAGAGCAGATCTGTTTTGTTAAGTCTCAGGTCCTGTCACCTAGAATCCCCTCTCCTCTTGGCAGCACGATTCCTGTGCACTTGGGCCCTGGATGGCTGCACAAGTAGGAAAAATAGAAGAATAAGTGCTTTCTTCACCAAGTGTGGACAGCAAACTCCTCAAACAGCACACAGATGCCACAGAGGTGAGGAGGTCCCCAGTTGCAGGGGCCTGTGGATGGGCAGTTGCACCCAACACCCACGGCAGGGCGCCCTGGCAGGCTCGGCAGCCACACCTGCGATCCCAGAGACTCAGGAGGCTGAGGAAGCCTGGGGTTGGGCAACAGACTGCCTCAAAGTAAAAATGTATGAATAAAAAAGGCTGAGGGCTGGGGACAGAGCTCAGCTGGTAGAGTGCTCGGCTCGCATGCACAAGGCCCCGGGTTCAATCCCAGCACCACACACACAGAGGACCACTTCAAGTGGAAGGATTCCAGCACCACTCGCCTGCTCACGTCAACACACTTACAACAACTGAATGAGGGACAGCGCAGCAGCACACTGGCCTGTCCCAGCTGTGCGGAGGTGGGGGCAGGAGGATTTGAGCCTGGGCTGCATAGCCAGACCCTGTCTCTTAAGGAAAACAAAACAAAACAAACAAAAAAATGCAAGAGCAAAAAACAAAACAAAAACACCCAAAACAAACAAAAAAACTCACAATAAACAAGTGAAAAAAAACCTGAAGCAATAAGATGTTCTCATTTTGACCTTTTTTTTTTTTTTTATTATTAGTTGTTCAAAACATTACAAAGCTCTTGACTTGACCTATTTTTTTGAAAGATGAAAACCTCTCCAAATTCTGAGCTGTGTTAACAAGGCGGGCCTTTTGCCACTGTCACATGACTCATTTTTACTTTCTAATCAATACTATGGTACTTATTTTTCCTCATTTTCTCTGAAAATCTGAACTTCTTAAATGAAGCTAGTTGTGGCACTCTTCAGGTTTTAAAGAAAGGGAGACAGTGCTAGACTCCTTCCACCGAGAGGCAGCGCCTCAGTCTTCCTCAGGACCTGGCCCAGAGGAGGCAYGTTTGACGCGGGGGGTGTTCATGACCACGATGTCAGGTTTTATGGTAAAGTTCAGACCTGAATAAAATTTGAAGCCATGATGCGCAGGCGGGTGGAGGAATCTCCGGTCCTGGCAAGCAAGGCAGGAATGGTCCTCTCCACGCAGTGGGTGGTCTCAAGCTTGCTCAGCTGATGTTTGGGAATATACTGTGTAATCATCATTTTCAGTAATTTCAAAGAAGCCTGAAAGACCTAGGAAATGGGATAAAAACAGGTGAGCTCTTCTAACTGGATTTTCCAAGAGAAAACACACACCTCACTTAGTACTAGATTTACATCAGTCATGCCGAGACCCACGCGCTGTCTGAAGTGCTGAAAATTGAAACCGACAACTGCTCTCTGAAGACCCCACCCTGCTCCCGTCTCACTGTGCCAGGGAGCACTCGCCAACATCCTGGCCCAGAGGGCCAGCTCCTCTACAGCTGCAGCCAGGGTGACCCTGTGGCACTTGTTCTTAAGGCCACGTGGAGTTGGAAAAACACAATTCCAGGCTCCTCGGGTCTCGTGTTTGCTGGCAGTGGCACTCAGGCCTCTGCACACACTGCTGGGGACAGTGGCAGAGGTGGCACTGCACCAGGCAGAGGGGTAAGGAAGCAGAGGCAGTGGTCTCAGACCTCACCTGCCCTGCATCTTGCCAGATAGCCTTCACTCCAGTCACCTACGACAAAGGACAGGCTGCCCCTCAGCTGCTCTGCTCTACTGTGGAGTGGCATGTCACCTGTGGCCAGCAGGCTGAGGGGACTCACCGAGGTCACAATGTCCTTCATGGCTCTTTTGACAAGAAAGACAGATGCTCTCAGCATGCTCTTCACGTCTTCCTTCGGGGTTCCCACAGGCACCTCCATCAGCCTCCTGCACAGACCAAGCAGCGCATCCTCTCGGCAGGACCAGGTCTTGGAATAGGCCCCGGCAACCTGCCAGGCACAGAGCCTGCTTGGTCCTGCTTCAGGGGGCAGGTTCYGTCCACCCACCTGCCCTCCAGGGCTCCACAACGCAGCAGCACATGTCTGCTTTTACGACTCTGGACCTTTTCTAGGAGCGGGTCCCTGGCAGAGTGTGTGTGTTTAGGGAAGAGCTCCTTGGAYGGGAGGCTGTGCTAACACACCAACTCCACCAAGAGGGCCCTCTGGAGCAGGCCGGGGACARGCAAGGAGAGGCTCTAGACTCTTCCCTGCCATCACTGTCACTGCAATTAGCTGCTGCTCCTAGGAGAGATGCACCCTGCAAGCTCTGAGAACACCAGGAGGAAACACACCTTCTGTGAACATGCTTTCATAACATCCGAACCCAGCCATGCTCCACAGCCCTTGAGAGTGAGGGAAGGGCAGGCTTCCTGGGTGGCAGCGGCAGCACCACCAATGACTCCGACTCCCCCTCCCCCGTGAGTGTGCCTGTGCATGCACATGGGTGTGGCGGTTTCTCCTTTTTACCAGGGTTTCTCCTAACACGTCCACCGCGGAGCTGGCTTCCCTCAGGGCCTTCTCGCTCAGGGGCTCAGGCTCCCCGGCCACACCTCCTCTTCGCAGGGTGCCCAGGTCGGCCTCGCCTACGTCGGGTTCTGTCAACACTTCTGCTTGCTGTTTGCGGGGGGCGGGGAGGGGCCGCTCGTCGTAGGGCAGGGTGTCCACCTGCAGGAGAGAGGACAGCATCCCAAGTGACACTCCCCATGGCCTCCTGCTCTCCTGGGAGAGCGAGTGTCAGAAAGGTATGCTTTTGCTCACTATCAGCAWCATCAGATGGGAGCAGCAGTAAACAGGAAGTAACTGGCACAGTTCGAAGAGGTCTTCTAGTCCTTTCTAAATTTACCATAAAATAGCAATGCAGACTTGGCCTCAGTTACTACTGACCAGTAGTAATTTCAGTTCAACAGAGATTATGAAAGCCAAGAAAGGTACTGCATTTTTTTTCCTGACAAGACCACTGGTCTTTTTTTAGTTTACTGCTGAAAAGTCAGCTCCAGCCTGCCTATCAACCAGCTCACCATCCAGCGGCCTTGGATTGACCAGACAGCCAAGGTCAGAGACTCTACACCGGCTTGCTCTGCTTGCCTAGGACCCCGGCTAGGCAGCTGCCTATCTCACTCACCCATTGCTCCAGCAAATATTCATGGGGCACCTAATTTGTACCAGGCACTCATCTTGGAACACACAGTGACGAACAAGATGGACCTTCTGCCCTGCCTGCAGTCCCGTAAGGAGACAGGCCCATGACCAGACGAGAAAGAACGTAGCAGAGTCTTGGGTAATGAAGGGAGACGAGTAGAGGGAGAAAGAGGTGTGTGTGCTGACATTGCAGTGGGTGGGGCTGCCGTCCACTCCTGGCGCTCACCAAGATGGTGAGTGAGCGTGCGCCAGTGGGCGAGTTTCTCACGCCCTCAAATCTAGTCATGAAACACTGAGGCCACAGAACCGGGAAGAGCACTGTGATACTAAACGGAAGTAGTCAGCAGAACATAAGGTCAAGCCACAGGGACGTGGCGCGTGGCCTCTGCAGCAGACACACTCTGGGGCGGAGGTGGTGTCTTCCCTTCTGTCCCCTCACAGTGCCGGAAGCCCCAGGGAGGCCCTGATGGCCCATTCCACACACCCCTGCTCTGGTCCTGGCTGCTGCTTCCAGGCTGGTGTGAGACTGTGGCTGATCTAACCAGGTAGACACAAGGATGCTGCTGGAATAGGACACTCCCTCCCCTCAGATGGCACAGGCACCTGGTGACTGCAGCCCTGGGGTGATGTGGGMATCAGACTCGACATAGTTCAGCAATGAATCAAACCGACCGAGGACACAGGATCTCCTGAGCCGCTAGCTACGCCCAGTAGGAATCAGGTGCCCTGTCACTCACAGCACAGGAAGTTCTAACAGGCATGGTGGCCAGGCACGAGCTTCACCACATGCTAGGTGGCTTGCTGGTGTGCTAGGCATTTTCTGGAATTTTTTTTTACTCTTTGGTCGATGCTTTAAGAAAGTGTTTTTGTCTTTATACAGAAAGCAGAGGCTCAGAGGCGGAAGGACGTGTGAGAACACAGGTCAGGGACAGGACAGAAGGGGGCTGCAGGCTGACTGCAGATGGTGCCTCCCAAGGGTGTGGCTCCTTGGCTCCTGCTACTGTGGCACTCTGGCCTTAGCCCTTGTGTCCCTGGCAGAACTTTGGGAGGGGCTTGGCCATGTGCAGCTTGCCTGCCTCTCCTGTACTGGACCACACCTGACACAGCGTGGTGGTTAGTAAAACACCTGTGGCATAAACAGTACCAAAGTAAACAGAGCTACCCACGTTGCTCCTTGGAGGCGGGCCCGAGGCAGGCAGCAGCTGGTCTACTRCAGTGTGCCGCGGAGGAGGAGCCAGGGGGCTCGAGGAAGGCTTTTCCTGCAGAAGCGGGTGGGCAAGCTGGCTTTCGGGGGCCACCTCTTCTGGCTGTGGCAGTGAGGGGGCTGGCTTTCGGCGGTGAGGACTGCTGAAATGATCCAGGGGCTGGAGGGGCAAGTCCAGGGGCCTCCGCATCTGGAGGAAAGGAAGGGAGATTGCATCTCAAATGCCATGGAGCTACCATCTTGCCCTAGGTGAGTGACTGGAGGAAGGCTGTGCTGGGAGAGGGTCCTCAGCACGGCACATCTCAAAGGAAAGCTTCCTGCTCAGGCCCAAGTCGTGCGGCTTCCCTGCCGTGCYCTCCTCAGTTAGGGTGCTGGACACAGAGCCACCGTGCACACCCAWGTCCCGCTGGGAACGGGTCTGTTCACTTGTGGAGAGGCCGACCATGGCAGGAGGCACTGGTTGAGCCTGAGCAGGCCTGTGCTCAGAACCAGGCACTACTATTCCCTGAGGGTCAGGGGACCCTGCACAACCGTAAAGGGCATAACCAACCTGCAGTCACCTCACCTGGGCATGGTGCCCAGGGCCACAGACTGGGGGTCTCACTCTGTTCTCCACTTCGCCCTGCTGGGACGTGGAAGCAATGCTGGCCAGCATCAGTCTGAGGTCAGCGGCCAGAAGGGAGGGTCCAGGTGAGACCCAGGCAGCCTGTGCTCTCCACTGTCCTGTGGCTCTCAGGGCCTGTTTCCTCACCTGCTGTACGTGTGCCTACACGCCTGTCTGAGCTGTGCCAGAGGCAGGGCACCACCCACCGGGGCCACAGGTGCACTCTGAACCTTCTCCTTCTCTAGGGCGGGGCAGGTGGGAAAGCCACCACGCCTTGCACGTGAGCAGAGGGGGCTGGGYGAGGGGCTTGCTGGAGAGGGCAGTGCCCATCCCTCCACCCCCAGCTGGCTCCCGCCTCCTCTGGGTGACTCCTTGAGGGTCCGGTCACTACCCAGAGCCTGTCGCCCTGCCCAGTAAGTGCCCCGCCCTGCTGACCTCCAGCTCKCCATGCAGGAGGCCGTGCAGCTCCAGCTGCTCATACACCTGTGCACGGTAGCAGGCCATCTGCTGCTTCTTCTCCTTGGCTAGGTCATAGTCCTCCTTCTCCACCGCACAGCGCTTCTCCACCTCGTATCGCCCCAGACGCTCGCCCACCTGCAGCACAGGGTGTCTGCTGCTTCAAACCAYGTCTGCAAAGACCACAGCTGGAGGGGAGCTCACGAGGCAGAGACTGAGTGTGAGGTGTGCGGGGAGGGGTCAGCACAGAAATGGGAAAGGCCACACTCTCTGCAACAGCAGCGCTGTATACTGCTGTCCTGGTGCCTGATAAAGCCAGAAGTCCACCCGAGCTTCTGAGCATGTCCTCTACCACTTCTGGCAGTAGCAAGGGTCCTGCTCAGCACAGTGGCGGCCACGTGTATCTTCAAAGTGCTCATCCCTCCTTACCTCTCCCTGGAGGAGACCTTAGACCCCATGCCAACCCGCAGCTTGCAGGAACCCGCTGCTCTGTTATAACTAAGAGGCCATCCACAGGCAGAGGAGTGGGCTCACAGAGGCAGTACCTTCTGCAGGTCAGCAATAGCCTGCTTCAGTTTCTTGGCRTGATCATAACGCTCCCTTTGGACAGCTTCCCGCTTCCTTTCATCCAACTTGCGAATGATCTGTGCAACCTCGGGGTCTTGGTACATGTCAAAAGCCAAGTCGTCCAGTGGAGAGATATAGTCAGACCTCCTAGGGGAGAAATGCATGTGTCAGGGCTTATTCCTCTCCAGGGGATGCTGCTGTGGCTGGCGAGCCTTGGTGCTCCATGATGAGCAGTCTTGGAGAAAGTGCCAGCCACCCCTGCAGCTGRTACTTCCTATGTCAGGGAGCCAGGGCTCCGAGAAGTCATCAGGGGCCTCTCTGACACCCAGCCCTCCTCCACCTGATCCCCTCAGGCTGCAGCCCTCGGAGATGGGAGGGCTCTGGGGAAGGGGGCCGCTGCCTGGGCACAGAGCTGGCTGGTGGCAAACAGCTCCGAGCACCTGAACAGACAGCCTACTCCATATTTTGTGCAATGGTTCAAATGTTAACAACATCCTGTTAGCAGACTCCACTGACACTCAGGTGAAGTGAAATCACACCCCAAAATTATGGACAGATTTGAAACTTCTATTAAAATTTAAAATGTTTCATCTCTTCTTTACTGGGAAGCTGCTGTCAGAGAAGAGGAACCAGTGCTGTTCTGAATTCCTTTTCTCTTTAGACTGGGGCACCTTTGGGACAGGGCCCTATGCTCTCATAAGCATTGTGTAAACACTGTGTGCCCAAAGAAGCRGCTGGGAAAGAGAAGGTGACGGGCGCAGCAGGTGGGCAGCTGCGGGAGGCTCTTCAGCTCCCCGACTCTTGACCCACCAGGGTCTTCCCACTGTGAGGGGAAARAAAGAGGGACAGCAAAAGTGAAGCGTACAACTGTCACTGTGAAGAGAGACCCAACAGGGAGGGGGCGCTGTAAAGCCGCTCTGCCAAGCTGCCCTGGTGTGAATTTAATTTTAAAGAAGCCACAAAATGAAGTCTTGAGTGATTGATAATTTAGGCCAAATAGTGTCTTTGAWTTTGCCTGTGCCAGTGAAATGTCAAAGGACGGAGGACAGAGCTCAACAACAATGCACTGTAGGGGCCTCAGCCTGTCTTGGACGCCCAGCAGCATAGAGCACTAAAGAACCCGATGGCCTTGCTCTTGCTGTGCATGGAGACAACCCAGTCAGGGGCTCATCCAGCTCCAGACTGCATTGAGACACCTCTGAATGCAGAATCCATTAGCAAGGAGACACTGGTGACTCTGAGGAAGGTCATGCTAGCTASCATCCTGCCAGGGCCAAGAGGTGGGGAAGGCACTTACCCAGCGTAAGTCCCCTCTAGGGCTGGATCCTCCGGGTTGTGCCCAAGATAATGATCAATCAACTTCTCTCTAGAGGTCTTCAGGAGCAAAATGTCTGCTTAGGATTTCAGCACACAGGCACAATATGAAATCCTAACTTCATGATAATCTGATAGGAAGGTCAGCAAGATGTGGCGATCCTACTCTTTTGGAGAGACCGCTACAATTCTTAAGTAAAAGGTTATTAGACTATGGCTGCTGAAATTATCTGACAACGATTTGCTATATTTATAAATACTTTGAAAATGATACTTTCTGCAATGAAAGTAAATGATCCCATTAGAAATACATATTCTTTCTTAGGAATTAAATGGCTCAAACTTACAATATTGCTTTCATCACCAAAATCTGCAGGGTCTCCAATGATATTTACTGCAACCAAAGCAACCTAAGGAGAAGTTAAGTAAACAGAAATAAGCATAAAATGTTTAAGAGGCCTTCAGCCCTTTATAACAAATTCTGACTTACACTGTTATCAAAYGGGGAGATGACACATACCAAAGTGCGTAAACCATGAAGTGTTGCGCTAACGTACAGGACATCGTGTTTTTGTTGTTGTTCATACAAAGGATTGAACCCAGGGGTGCTTAACCACTGAGCCACTTCTTTAGCCTCTTTTATTTTTTATTTTGAGACAGTTCTGTTAAATTGTTTAGGGTCTTGCTAAATTGCTGAGGCTCACTTTGAATTAGCAATCCATCCTCTTGCCTCAGCATGGTTGTTTCTGGGGTTACAGGCCCAGCTCAACATCATCGATTTTCAAGTGAATTATATAAATTAGTATTCAAATGCTTACCCAAGGGCCTATTTCAACTGTTTAAAGCATGTTAAAACAATAGTAGCTAAACACTCCTGAAGTCACCACAGCCTATAACAAACTCAAGGTCGAGGTCAGGGGTCATAACCATATGATAAATTTAAGACCAGGAAAGGAAAACAGAGATTAACGTGGCTGAGGTTGTCGGGTCACTGATCCTCCACCGCAGGGGAGGAGCCACTTTCCCATTGCCATCCTCATCACTGAGAACCACTCTGGCCTCAGTGCCTAATCAGGGTGTTACCTGTGAACACAGCAGGTGACATGGAGCAAGCAAAGAAAGGCAGGCATGGCTCTCGCAGTGTCCTGCCAAGTCATGCTGCCACGTAGCCTAGTTAGCACTTCCAACTTGCTYACTTGGTATAAGGTGTGATTTTTAATTTTTTTCAAGTAGATGGACAATGCCTTTATTTATTTTTATGTGGTGCAGAGGCTTGAACTCAGGGCCTCACACATGCTAGGTGAGTGCTGTACCACTGAGCTACAGCCCCAGCCCAAGAATGTTTGTATTCTTGGAGGGGCAGGGAATGTTGTAATTATTTGTCAATAAGACTGCTTTGGACACAATTGATTTCTAACTCATTTATCAAAAGAAAGAGTGGGTGGGAGAGGATTAAGAGTCAGCTGCTGGAGCCAAGAGCCCCCAGGCAGGCCCCCAGTGTCTACCAGGGGTTTGTCTCCTGTCAGCTGCGAGGGTTCATCTAGAACAGTGCTGTCCACAGGGGTGCAGTGCTGGCCGCACAGCCATTGTTTTCTAGCAGACACACTGAGGGAATGGAAAAGAAAGAAGTGGGAGTGACTTTTGTCAAAATATTAACCCACTACATGCAASTGACATAAAAGCTTCCATGGACACTCTCACATTCCTTTCCAGCCTGAATCTAGAGAGCTACGGTCATACATTAAAGGTCTTCCTTAGAAGAAAGGCTTGAACATGCAAGTGAGGACACCTGGGCAGGCGCACAGGCGGGTGCAGAGCTGCAGGTGCAGATGCGCTGTGCTCACCTGGTTATAGGTATTGTACTTGTTGACATGGTTCTGGTGGAATATCAGCTTGAGAAACTGCCCCACGGCGTCCACATACACTGACTTGAGCTCGCGGGCTTTGCAGCCGGTCTTCTGGTTATCACAGAGGGAGACGTAGCTGAAAGGCAACACAGTGGAGAATTCGTCTACTCAACAACAACCCACCCCTGGCTCCTGCTGGACTCAGCAAGCTTAAATAAAAGCTGAGCTTGGGGTGGCAGCTTGGGAAAAAGCCCCAGATTCCAGTTTAATGTTTCTGAAAAGCTCTCTACCTGCAAAGCACAACTGGCTGTGGGCATCAGGAGACATGATCACCCGGCGATTCAGCCCACCCAATCCCTGGCAGGTGTTGGCAATGCCACATTGGACCCAATGTAAGGGGTAATTCACTGATTCTTAAGAGCTCTGAGGTAGACTTGGTCAGGCTAAAAGTCACCATTAAAATTTTGCATTTCATTCTTACCCAAGTCTGCGAAATCGCTCTGCTTGGTAGGGTACAAAATACTCAGGCAAGCTTTCGCTAATGTAGAACTCGATTTTGCTTGAGATCATGTACTGGTGTGCAAGCAGCTGCAGCTTTCTTATTCGACACCTCTCTACCATCTGAAGAACAATTTCTTGTGGGAACTGGCAGAATCTGAAAGCAAAGACATCTTTGTTTTTCTGAGCCATGACTGCAGAGTCCCCAGATGCTGTGCTGCCAGCCTCAGCAGGTGAACCCATGGCGCTGTGGGGGCCAAGCCACAGGGCGCAAGAGGAGAGGCTGTGACACTCTGCCCTTCTTGGAGCTTTTTGGGGCAGAGCCAAAGGATGGCCCTGGGGTGGTCCATCTGCCAGTCACCCAGCACAAACCCGACCTCTGGCGGCTGTAACCGCAGCTCAAGTGGACCTGAGGTTCACCACGGGACAGATGAACGCATCGCAAGGGGCTGCAGTAGTGGGCAAGGTAGAGCCCGAGMTTTTCCCACAGGAGCCAAGTACTTGATAAACCCTGGTGACGGCCTGTGCAGGCATGGCACCTTCAGAAGGGACTTGGTAGAGGAAGCTGGGTCTCTGGGTGTGTGTCCTTGGAGGGGACACTGGAGTCCAGCCTCTGTTTCCCTGGCCTCYGGGAGTTGGACAGGCTCCTCCAGCCTGGGCTTTTCCCTGCCTCACCACAGGCCCCGAGCAGTAGGATGAGTGACCACAGACCAAAACCTCTGTGATCTAAAAGAAACCCTTCTTCAACTTGTTCGCGGGATCTGAGGACCTGCCACAAGCGCACCATGCTCTAGGAGAAGCCAGGCTGGGGTGCTTCTAATTTTGCTCAGAAGTACACAAGACACTAGGCAGCGAGAAGGGATTAGAGAACCGTGTCAGCCAGCACCGACTCTCAGGTACTGCACGGCCAGGATGGCGGCAGAAGGACCTCCATTAGCTAACGAGCATGTGGTAACAGGACCGTGGAGGTCCCCAGGCCCATGAGTTGAGGGATGGGGTGGTCGGGAGTGTGTCCAGTGCCCTGCGGGTGTGCTTCTGGATGTGTGGAGCCCCGCACCTCACCCAGGAAACACACACGGCAGGCTCTGCTGCCCAGCGCAGCAGCTTCCTGCCAGGTGCCCTTAGGCCCACAGGCCTATAGCAGCAGAGCCTGTTCTCCTGAGCAGCACTCACATCACACACACAGTCCAGAAAGTCCCAAMTCAAGAGCACATCCAATGACTCGGTGTCCCTCTCCAGGGGTTTCCCATTCTTTCCAAATGTCATGCTGCCTGAAGCCACCACCACTTTCTCAAACCCTTCCCCCTGTGCCACTGCCCACAGGTCACCTTATGAAGGCCACCATGGACTTCTTAAAGCCAAGTGCCATGTCTCCTCCTSGGCTGTGACCTTGCTCTGCTACACAGTTGCCCACATTGCTCAAACCCTCTACTTGGCTCCAGTGTCCTTGATGCTACCCCTTTCTAGTCCTCCTACCTCCTTAGCTCCCTCCCCTGGTCCTCAGCCATGAGTTTGAAAGGTCCTGTTCACGAGGGAGCYTTGCCTGGACACCACCCTGAGTGACCCACACCCAGTGGGAGAGCCACAGCTCCACACAGACATCTAAAGGCCTGGAGTGTGATGTGGAAAACAAATGCTGACCCCACCTCCCCACCAACCCCAGGGTCCAGGCCACCAGAGATCCAGGCCTTATCCACAAGCTTCTACCAGTGTTTCCTCTGTGACACTGCTGGAGAGTCCAGGCCAGAAAGGAGCTGCGGTATGTTTCCTGCTCCCTGGAGACCGCAGTGGGGGCATCCCTCCATCTGCCATTAGCTGCCCCTGAACACACTTTCTGTAGTTGTGGTGACAGAGTGTCTGGTCCTGTCTTCAGGACTCCTGGCTGGAAGATATTTTCTTTTGCCTTCTTGCCATGTGCTTGACTTTGGGGCAGTCTGTGTGGTGACCAGGAGTAYACACATTATTTCCTTTGGAACATGTCTCCTTTCTTCTGAAAGCACATTACTAACATGCCCCAAAAGAAATACCAAGCCACCAGGCATGGTGAGGCACAACTGTAATTCCAGAGGCTCGGGAGGCCGAGACAGGAGGATTGCAAGTTCAAGGCCAGCCGGGTAACTTGGCAAGACCCTCAGCAACTTAGCAAGACCCTGTCTCAAAAATAAAAAAGGACTGGGGATATAGCTCAGTGGTAGAGAACCCCTGGGTTCAATCCCCAGTAACAACAACAAAAATAATAGCACAATAAAAGACACTGCTACGTCAGTATACAAAGGCATCATAGGCATCATATTAGTGTTATTGTTATAAATATTACCAACAGGGTGCCTATTTATTTGAAAACYTTAAAGTACATAAAATCACTGAACAGGGCTGGGGCTGTGGTTCARAGGTAGAACACTCTCCTGGCAAGCGCAAGGCACTGGGTTCGATCCTCAGAACCACATAAAAATAAAATAAAGATATTATATCCACCTACAACTAAAATAAATAGAGAGATAGATAAACACACACTGAACAAAAGCAGTCAGCAACAGGACCTCTGTGGAAGGGTAAGGGAGGTTCCCTCACACTCTCCATCAGGGAACCCTGGGAAGTGGAAGTGAGGCTACTGGCGGGGTGCTTCTCCTGCCCTCCTGCCTTGGGCTTCACAATGTATTTCTGCCCTCAGTGCCATGAGCAATCGGGTGCTGTTGCATCCCTACCTGCTTTGCTCTATTTAATTTCACTCCCTTGGGACTTGGGCAGGGAAAGTGAGCCTGTTTTTTGGCTACCCTAAGAAATCAAAGAGGAAAATAAAATTTAATTTTAAATGTGATTTACATTCAGTTTTCAGCAGGACACAACAATATGATTGAATTGCAAATGCCCTACATATTTATAGGTTTTTCAGTTAGATTCCTGTGGATTGAAACAGAGACAAGGACCCTGGAGGGATTGAGCATTAAGCAGGTCCATGGAGCCTGCTCAGCACAGCTAGGTGGTGTGCTGGTGAAAAACACAGGCCTCTTGAACCAAGCAGATGCTTCAGAACAACGTAAGACACATACTCAAATAATAAACATTCTTATAAACATGTACAAATGTTCAAGAGAAATTTGAAAGAGACCCTGGCTGAAACCTGTTGTCACATAAAAGCAATTAGAGGCAAAAATCTTTCCCTGTAGGTGCCTAACCACAAGACCAACAAAGTGTGCAAACACAGCCTTTGCTCAGACAAGGGATGAGAATGCATCACCCGGCATGTGGCAGGAGAGGGTCAGGTGGTGACGAAGCTCTGCTTTCTCTTCTGTAGTTGCTCACTTCCTGAGTGTGGGCTAATGGTAGAAGGGAAAGGGCCAGCATATCTTTTTTTTTTTTTTCCCCTTTGGTGCTGGGGACTAAAATTAGGGGTGCTCTACCACTGAATTATGAGCAAGCAGCCCTTTTTTTGATTTAATTTTAAGACAGGGTCTCTCCAAGTTACCAAGGCTGGCCTTGAAAGTGCACTCCTCCCGTCTCCCAGGTTGCTGGGATTACAGGTGTGTGGGATCACACTCAGCCAGGCCTGCAAATAAACATAAACAAAAAAGAAAGGAATCCCATCACAGAACTAGTCACGTCACACTGCTGCACTGTGACCACCCTGTGGTTCSTGATGTCCAAGTTACTGAAAGGGATCCATCTGCAGATCAGGAACCGGTGCATCCCCCAGCTCAGCYTCACCCAGCCTCACCTTGGAGACCTCCACCCACTGACAGTTGGTGCGTGGATCATCAGTTCTCGGGCACTGAAGCCATCCTCGTGTCCAGAAGAGCTKACCACGACGAATCCGATCTTGTGGGGCATTCTGCAGGCTTGGGCTGTTTAGAAGAGGGAAACTTCTTTAAGGAATCCACTAACACAACACCTGAGGTATCAGTTCACACTTGGCTGATGTACGCAGGAATTAACAAAGCATTTATATTTCTCCATCATATTGGAAGAGTCCAGTTTTTCTGTGTAACACTTTTCTTTGGGGGTGGTGCTGGGAATTGAACCCAGAGCCTTAACATGCCAGGCAAGAGCTCTACCATCCCAGCCTTATCAAACACTTTTTATAAATACTTCTGATTTTACTTAAAGTACCACTTAAGATTTTTCCCCAAATTTGAATTTATTTATTCAAGTTTGACCTATATTGTGAACTGAATTGTGTCCTCCAAAGACATGTTCAAGTCCTACCTTTGCTACCTGTAAATTTGACCGAATTTCAAAACAGGGTCTTTGTAGATGTAACCTAGTTAAAATGAAGTCTCAAGGGTACGCCCAATCCAATGTAACTGGTCTTTTTAAGAAGGGAGAAGGGGCTGACAGTGTAAAACAATGTAGAGCTCTTGCCCAGCACATGCGGGGCCATGGGTTTGACTACAGCACTACAAGACAGCAAACCAGCAACACACACACACACACACACACACACACACAGTGAGGATATCAGGCAATACCACAGGGGCAGGCGCGTGGCAGGGTCTACAGCACAGAGTGCCAGGGACTGCTGGAAACCATCAGAAGCTAGAAAAACACGAAGGATCCTCCAGAGCCTTCAGAGGATGTGGCCCTGAGGGCACCCCAATTTAGACTAAAGCTCCAGAATAAATTTCTATTGTTTAAGCCATTCAGTTTGTGAGACTTTCTCACAGTAAAAACAAGTTATTTGCTAGGGTACAAACACATTTTTTTTTTGGGGGGGAGGGTTAGGAAACCAATACAACCACGTTAACTAGTTCTCAGTAACAAGCGGGAAAGGCAACCTATTCACTAGCATATTAATTGCTGTGCAAAAACGTACAACCAGGAGGAAAGGAGGAGTCCCAGATGCAAGGAGTACAAGACGCACAGCCAGCTGGCTCATGGGGCATCTAAAACACCAGCCAAATGACTGCTATCATGGCTTTCAGTGAACCTGACCTTGACCTGATTCAATACCACCTGGAAGGTGCCTACTGAGCTGTGTTGGCCGTGTGGAACCGTGTCACTGATCTGTGACAGCACCTAGACTCACACACTGGACCTTTAAGTCCAAATACAAGAGTACCTCCACTATACCATGTTACCCCAATAAATCCAAACAAAGTTCTGGCCCTGGAGAAACAGGCAGGAGGAAAGCACCAGCACTTGAAGGGATGTTGCAGCCTCAGTGTGGGCATCTGAAAAGCCTGAAGACCTCTGCATAAACATTCAAGTGTCACATGAGAGGCTGCTAGGCTCTGTAAGGGCCACCACGGACTTTGGCAGAACCCTGCTCTGTGGTACTGGCTCATCTTCACCAGACACTGCAGCCCCAGAGACAGGAATGAGCAGCCCAGCCAGTGCCAGTTGACACTTCTCCCCAGGCCCAGTGACGCTCCTGCTCCCTATACTTAACCTCCAGCGGCAAGATAAGCTACAAATTAGATGAAACTCAATTTAGCGACTTCCGAAGGTTGTGCTAGGAAACAATTTCTTTTCGTTTCTTTTAAAACATTACACAATAAAATAACAACTTTGAATCAAATAATTGTAAGATGAAGGGGCTTCGGAGAAACCTGACACTTAGTAAGTAACCCCCTCCCGCCCTTCGCCAAGGCCCAAGTTCAACCTATGCAGGGCCAGAACCACGTTCTTCCATCCTCGGCAACCGGCCCGGCCCGGCCCGGTCCGCTCCGCGTGCAGCGAGCGCTGGCGGAGGGAAGGCCTCCGGGGCTGGCGGCGCCGGTGCTCCCGCAGGCCCGGGCAGGACCCCGCTGGCCTCCGGCTGCCGGCGCGGCGCGGACGGGAGTCCCGGCGGGTACCTGCGGCGACGCGAGATCTCGGCGCAGCCGCCCAGGGCGCGCGGGGGGTGGGGCGCGGCCGACGTTCTACGGTCCCGCGCGGGCCGTCGCTCCCTCTGGCGGAGCTCGGGGGGGGCCGCCGTCGCCGTCCCCGGCTCCGGCCGCCTCAACCCCAGGCTGCGGTGGCAGCCGAGGAGCAGCCCGGGCCGCCTCCACCCAGCGCCCGGGACGCAGCCCCGCTGTCATGACAACCTGGCCACTGGCGCCCGCGCGCCCGCCTCCCGCGCGTGCGCCTGCGCACGAGAGCGAGCCTCGGGTTCGGACGGTGCCTGCGCCTGCGCACGGGGGCTGGCCTCTTTTCCAGATCGCTCCTGCGTCTGCGCACGGGGGCAGGCCTCGGTTCCGGGTCGCGCCTTCGACTTCGCGCGGTGGCAGGCCTCGGTTCCGGGTCGCGCCTGCTCCTGCGCCTGCGCCTGCGCCTGCGCACGAGCGCGCGCGAGAATTCCGGAGCTTCTCCGCTGAGCGAGCAGTGTCTGGTTTTCCCGGATCCTTACCGGGATGTGCGCTGTGGTCAGCCAGCTCAAGACCGTCAGGCTGCGGGCCTTGCGCAGCGCACAGAAGTTCGGCGTGGCGGGCCGGAGCTGCCAGGAGCTGCTGCGCAAGGGCTGCCTGCGCTTTCAGGTCCGCAGGGACTTGCAAAGGGTGCGCACTGTCCAGGCGCAGCCAGGGGAGCTCGAGTCAGCGGCAGTGGGGCCCGGGACGGCCGCACCTGCTGCCCGCTGCAGCTGGGGTCGTGCAGCGTGTACCTGCACGGCGCTGAATGGCCCCTGCGTCCCTCCGCCCCAGCCTGTCCTTCGGTAGAGCGAAGGCCTGGGTCACTGCCGTCGGGGCATCCCAACCATGGGGATAGGTTTTTTTTTTTTTTTTTTTTTTTTCCCTGAATGAGAGTAGACCCTCGCTGGGAACATGCATGAGCACGTGGGCGGCGGCGGGGAGTTGCTGGAGTGTTGAGGGACCAGGTCCCGAAGACTGGCAGTGCGTGAGGCTGTGTGCAGACTGGGTCACGGGCTGTGGGGATGCACTCAGGCACCAGTTCCAAACAGGCTCGCGTTTTACGTGCCCTCGAGGAGTTCGTTTTAGAACGGCGAATCCGCACTGCAAAGGGCCTCCAGTTGGCATGTCTCAGGCACCTTGGCTGTGATGCCAGTTTGGACGTGCACCCAGAAGGTCCTGAACTGGGTTCCTGAACAGCTCGTACCTTTTGTTTGGGAGGCCAGCAAACAGCAGTTCCTCTGCGCTCTAGCCTAAGCGTCCTGCTCCTCCTGCTTCCCTAGCTCCCCGTGCAGGGCTCTCGGCTGTGCCTGTACGAGGATGGCACCGAGGTGACTGAAGACTACTTTCCGGGCATCCCCGATGACGCCGAGCTCGTGCTGCTCACCGAGGGCCAGACATGGCAGGGCTGTAAGTGCAAACACCTTGGAGATGGGCGGGAAGCCGCACCGAGGCCCAGTCCAACTGAGTTTTCGGTCTTCTTGCTTGGGAGCCGGTTGTTCAGTTGATTGTCTTTTTTTTTTTTTTTTAATTTAATTTTTTACTGCTAACAGGCAGAGGCTGAGGCTGAGGCTGCAGTTTTGTGGGTAGTGGGAGCCAGAGAGAGAGCTGTGAAGGCTGGGGTCTTGCTGCTTCTTTTTGCAGGGCAGGGCGGGGCCCATCTGTGTACCTGGCTGTTTTCTAGTAGTGTTTGCTGAGACCTTGTCTGCAGGGCTTATGTTGAGGGCTGTCTTATTGGACACTTGCTCCAACAGGTGGTTCTTTAGGGATATCTGAATTGAAGGCCTGGGGTGTGATTCTTAACTTGGTGGACAGCAAATCTGCACTGTTTGTGTTACAACCCAGCATGGAGGGTTTCTTACCCCTGGTGGAAGACTCCTTGGAGTGCCAGTCCTCTGGAGGGTTCCTCTATAAAGGATATAGAGATGGGTGTCCTAGGAAGGATGGGGTGTTCCCAGGGGCTTAGTCCTGCCTCCTCTGCCGAATGGGAAAGAGAAGCTGAAGAGTTTGTCTACATCTCCAGGCTGCAGGGTAGGGGCTCACTGCCAGCATGAAACATCTGGACACAATCACCATAATGTCACCTGGGATGGCCCTTTGTGGGAGGCAGGAACTGGGCACCTCTGGATCTTTCCTTTTCTTCCCTGGTTCCTGGTATAGTTTGAAAAAAAATACCACAGGCTGCTGTCTGTGCCAACCTACCTCCCAGTCTTTGTCTCCTTTGTCTCTCTCAAGTTTCTCGTGGTTCTCTCTTCTCTCTACTCCATCTTCCTTCCTCTACCAAGACCTTTCCTAGGAAGACTTGTAAAGAAACGTTGAACATTAAAAACAAACAAAAAAATAAAAACAAAAAAACCCCACAGTGATTCTCAGGAACTTGCAAAGATAGGAAGGTTCCACGCACCTTTTACCACTTGTCCCAAAGTCACTTCTGGCACGACCCTAGCACAGCATCTAACCCAGGAAGCTGACCCTGGGGCAACGTCTGTGAACTACTGCGATGACTCCTGGAACTACCTGTTCAGTCAAGGTGCAAGGTACTTCCACTTGTCATAATCCTCCTAGTGCTGCCCTTTTAAAGATCCTGCCTGTCCCCACCTATCGAAGTCATTGCCCCTGGTGACCACTCATATGGTCCATCTCTATAATTTGTCATTTCAAGAATACTAGGTGGATGGAATCGTGTGATGTACGGCTTTCTGGGATGGGTGTTATTTATCTAAGTGTTGAGTGTCAGTGGTCCACTCTTCCCCATTGTGTGACTTGGTTGTACCACAGTTAGCCTCACCTTTCGCCTGCTGGGGGACATAAAGCTGCTGTGAGCAGTCATGCCCAGGTTTTTGTGTGGATGTGTATTTTCATTTCTCTGGGAAAGATACTCAGGAGTGCAGTGCTAGGTCATATGGTTAGCATGTGTTTAGTTTTTAAAGATAAGAATGTTCACTCCTAGCTGGGCACAGTGGCACACATCTGTAATTCCAGTGGCTTGGGAGACTGAGACAGGAGAATCGCTAGTTCGAAGCCAGCTTCAGCAATGGTGACCCTGACTCTAAATAAAATAAAAAATAGGCTGGGGATGTGGCTCAGTGGCCAAATGCTCCTGAGTTCAATTCCTGGTACCCCCAACAACATACAAAAAATGTTCACTCTTGCCACTTTCATTTATTATTGTATTGGAGGTACAGTGCTAGGAAAGTTAAGAAACAAGGCCCTCAGATTGGAAAAGAAGTACTCTCCCTGCAGAGGTGCACTGTTGTAAGTAGAAGTCCTCAGGGATCCATTAAAAACACTTAGAACTAAGAATGGAGTGTAGCAAGCTGCACGATATGAGAGCAGGATACAAAGCCACTTGTATTTCTATCCACATACAGAGGGCAATCTGGAAATGAAAATTAAGGAAATTAATCTAGTTTATAGTAGCATCAAAAAGAATAAAATACTAGGAACAAATATAACAAGAGAAGCATAAAACTTTGGGCTGGAGTTATAGCTCAGTGGTGGAGCACTTGCCCAGCACACATGAGGCATTGGGTTTGATCCTCAGCACCACATAAAAATAAACGTATTGTGACCATCTACAACTAAAAAAAGAAAAAAAAAAGAATTAAAAAAAAAAGAAGCATGTAACTTTTACTCTGAAAACTACAAAACATCAAAAGAAATTTAAGGTGGGAGTAGATGGAAAAGCAGCTCATATGTGTGGATCAGACAAACCTGATATTGGTGAGGTGGCAGTACTCTCCAAACAGGTCTTCAGATTCAGCACAGTCCCTAGGGAATTCCAGCCACTCCTTTATAGAAGTTGACATGGTGATTCTGATTTGTAATTCATGTGGAATCATCAGGGACTCAGAATAACCTAAACAATCTTGAAGAAGAGCACAGGAGGACTCACGCTTCCCACAGTGGTGACCAAGACCATGGTCCTGGCCAGGGGTGAACGTGTAGATGAGTAGAATGGAGAGCCCAGAAGTAAACACGTGGTCACTGTTTCGACAGGGGTGCTGATAGTAGTCAGTGGGGGAAAAATAGTCTCTTCAGCAAGAGGTGTGGACATAACTGGACAGTCACACAGAATGAATGTAGTACATGCAAAAATCAACTTAAAATGGATTTATGACCTAAATGTAAGAAGTAAAAGCCCAAAACACTTGGAAGAAAACAGGAATAAAATCTTCATGACTTTGGGTTTGGCAAAGGATTCTTAGATGTGATACCGAAAGCATGAGCCATAAAGGAAGAAACAAATTAGTCGTCATAAAAACGAAATAACTCTGTGCTTGTCTTTCTGCTCTTCTTAACAGTGTCTTTTGCAGAGCAAATTTTTATTTTTCATGAAATCCAATTTGATGGTTGCTACTTCTCTGATTCTGCCTTTGGTATTAAGTCTAAGAAACCCCATTGAACCCTGGGCCCTAAGGTTCCTTCCTGCTGTGGAGAGGTGGGTCTTGTGGGTTGATTTTGAAAACTGAACCAGGCTTGACTCCCCACTTGGCCTCCCTGTGCTCCTCTTTAGAATTCCTGGACCCTGTGGCGATATTCTGATAGGGCCCTTGGTGGCTGGTCTCTTGACCCTGAGAGCTTGTGGGAGAGCTCCCTGCCCTGGGAGTTGTGCAGACCTCTGCGCCAGGGCAGGAGGCATGGTTGGGAGGTCTGAAGAGGGGTCTCCAGGGAAGGCCCTCAGAAGGGGGTRGTTCAGTTTAGAAGAGAGGAGGCCAAAAGGAGAGCAGGGGTGCTCAGGAGGTGCTTTCGCTCTCTGACACACGTCCCTACGGGGGCAGAGGGCGGGAGCTGGTGTGTAGTTGGCTGCTGGATACAGCTGGCCAGGAGGAGGGCCTGGACCCCTTGAGTCTGAATTCTAGCAATCCCCAGGCTGAGGGATTGAGGCCTGCTGAAGTTGGATCTGGAATGTCCCTGAAGGCACGTGTTGAGGGCTTGGTCCCCAGTGCAGTGGTGTCCATTGGTGGGGCTTTGGATTGGATCCCAAGGGTTCTGATCTCATCAGTGGGTTAATCCACTAGGGAGCGCACAGCTGAGTGGGCTCTTGGGAGGTGGTGGAAACTGGAGGAGTGGGGCCTAGTTGAAGAGAGTGGTCCTTGGGGGTCTCTGCTCCCTGGATGCCATGAGGTGACAGCTCCACTCTGCCAGGCCCCTGTCCATGATGCCGTGCCTCACACAGGCCCAGAGTAGTGGACAGAACTGACCATGGACTGAAACCTGCAACCAGGAGCCGGAAGAAACCTTTCCTCCCTTAAACTGTTTTCTCAGATATTTTGTCACAGAGACGGAGAGCTGCAGCCTCTTCTCTGATCAAGGCTTCACTGGACTGAATGCATTTCTGTTTGTTCCCTGCTGGTGGCAGATGTGAGTGACCTCAGTCGCTTCCTCAGCATGTTTCACAAGGCGCAGGCTGGGGTCATTGAAGCTGCACGGCAGCTGCTTTCTGGCGAGAGGGCCCCCCTGAGGCAGAAGCTGCTGGCCGACCTCCTGCACACTGTCAGCCAGAACATCGAGGCTGAGACCCGAGCCCAGGACCCGCCCTGGTTTGAAGGTGTGTGGGCTGGGGAAGGGCCCAGGAGAAACTGGGGTCTGTCAGGTCCTAGTGTCCACAACCAAGAGCTGGTGTGGCCTTTCAGGGAGGCGGGACAGGATGTGCACTTCCAGAGCCTGGGGAATGTGGGGAAGGCACCAGCAAGGGCTCGTGGAGAGTCGGGTAGCATCCAGGCAGCCTCCAGCTGCCCTTTTTGAATTTATTACTCTTAAAATGTTGAGGTGAAAACGAGTGCAGCATACAGTTTACTGTCTTGGCCGTTGTTAAGTAGGCTTGTCTCCTAGTGTCTGGGGGCGAGTTTGGTTTCAGGACCCCCATGGGACCAAACCCTCGGGATGTGCAGATCTGTTGCCTGCAGCTGCTTGCATCCCTGCAGTCATCCTCATGCACAGCTGTCGGGTGGGCTGGGGAGTGGCAGAACAACAGGCCTGTGGTCTGTATAGGTGTAATTTTTAAACGCCTAAGACTTGTGGTTGGCTGAACTGCAGATGTGGAAGCGAATGGCATCACAGTCCAGTGGCACTGAGTACCCACTGTCATGCTGCTGTCACTGCCATATGGCCTGGGGACTCTTGCTTCTTGTACCTGTTGAGCACTGATCCCAGCCTGATGCCCTTCATCCTACTTTCCATCCGAGTGTGATGACTTTGGGTGCCTCCTGTAAGTGGGACCATGCAGGGCATGTCTGTGTGACAACTTACCTAGTGAAGCACGCGCCCTCGGGTTTGTCCTCGTGGTGCCTGTGTCGGGACTGTCTTTTTAAGGCTGGGCAGCGTTCCGTTGTGGATGGGTGCATGTGGTTTATCTTCTGCTAATGCACACTAGGGTCACTCCTGCCTTCTGGACTGGCCTTGGAAGCCAATTGGAGGTAGCCTGAGGAGTTGGCACCCATCTTGGAAAAGGAGGGCTGTTTGGGCAGCCAGGCAGAAGCCCTTAGTGGTGTTTGAGATGCCTCAAAACCAAAGACCAAATGAGGCCCTGCATGCCGCCACCCTCGGTTCTTTAGATGAAGCTGGCCGACCGTGAGGTCTGCCCTGCTTGGCAGGCAAGCCCAGCCGGGCACAGCCAAGAGGCCCTGGCTGCCCTGGACTCCAGGGACTCTTCTTCATTCTTACAGGCTTGGAGTCCCGATTCAGAAGCAAGTCGGGCTACCTACGATACAGCTGCGAGAGCCGGATCCGGAGTTACCTGAGAGAGGTAAGTGCTTTTTTGTTCAGGCCAGCTGTGCCCAGGGCTCTGGGCCCAGGGTGTGGGTAGGTGGTGGGAGGCCACTTTTCTGCTGGTACATCTCTCCTGTGCCCCACCTCTGAGGCCACTATTGGGTGCCCCAGTGTGCTAGAACCTGGGATGGAGGTCTGTGGCTGGGGTTGCTGAGGCCCAGCAGAGCCACTCACTCCCCCTCTGTTTTGTGTGGACTTCTTCCTGCTGGTGAAGGGCAGAACTAGCCCCTGAGTGTTTCCACGTGGCAGCAAGTTCCATTCTGACCTGAACTCTCCCAGACAGATGCCCTTTCTCTCTGTGCCTCGCCCTGCTCGGGCAGCAGCCTCTTGCCAACACTCTGGGGCACAGTGTGGTCATCTGAGCTTGGAGAAGAACAGCAGGGCCAAGTGGCCGCATGGGGCTCTGATGCTGGCTCCTCCCTGGGAGAGGCTTGGCCCAGTGGCATAGGAAGGAGTGTGGACACTCCTGGGCAGCTGTCTGCCTTCAGGAAGGCAGGACTTGGGTCTGCGGTCCTGGTGTGGTCCCTCTGCTGCTCCTCAGCAGATCAGACCTGTGTGAAAGGTGGAGTGCAGAGTGGAAGGGGATGCTCCGTGGAGCCTAGTGGGCCAGGTGTCTGTCCCAGGAGCGTGGGCCCGAGCTCTCCAACGCACTGGGCTCTGTGTCTCCACTCAGGTCCTTCCGGGTGGGACAACAAGGTCTTGGCTCTGGCAGCTTTGTCTGCTTTTGGTCCCTGCAGGCCCGCTCGCTGGCAGGAGTTGAGCCAGCTGTAGAGCAGGGGATGGGTGTTGTCTTTTCATGGTGTGCCGTCCCTGTGCCTATGTGGCTGCACAGACTCTGCGGTCTCTTGGTCGTCTCCCTCCACCCCTACCTTGACTGGGCCCTGCCACGCTTGTGGGGCTGGATGCAGCTGCATGTGCCTCTTGGTGGTCCTGCTGCCACCAAGGACGCCCTCATGTGAACACTGCCTGGCTGTGCCCTGTGGGTGACCCTGCTGTCACTGAGGACGCCTTCCTGCGGGCATGCCTGGCTGTGCCCGTGGGTGACCCTGCTGCCACTGAGTTGACTTCCTGTGGGCATGCCTGGCTGTGCCCGTGGGGTGACCTTGCTGCCACTGAGGATGCCCTCCTGCGGGCATGCCTGGCTGTGCCCGTGGGTGACCCTGCTGCCAC